AGTTTTGAACTACAAGGTGCTCAGAGCAATTTTGAGATGACTAGCTGAGATGATCCAGTCTCAAAGACTACTTGAATAAGGACTTGAGATAAACCCTGAGCTTTGGCATTATACACAGACTCTATAATACTGAAGGATAAAGTTACCTTTCCTAGAATTTGACAATTAACCTAAAAATTTTCTTTCAGATAAAGATAACTTCGCCCATACTCAGCAGGAAACAATTTTAAGAATATGACGCCCACATTCCCAAAAAGGTAGTGTGGAGCAGGTGGTTTTTTTGGTCTTTTTAATGGGTTTTGGATCTGCGATAATTTTGATTGTTTAGGGGGGTTGGTTACAAGTTGTTGTCAAGGGTTAGGAAAAAGGCTAAGCAAAGGAGATTAGATTTCAGGTTCTTGTTTAGAAAATAAAGAAAAGAAAAAGACAACAACTAGTTTTAAATACTTTACATTGGATTGGATTGTTTTATATTGTATAGAAATTTAAAATTGGTATTGTTAGAAAATGTTATATGTATATTAATTTTATTTATACCATTCACTTAACAATGTAATGCATTTTTCTGATCCTTGAATGTTATTACTACCAACTATTAGGATATAAAGAAATGAAAGTTAGTAGTTAGACATTACAATAGAACTTGTAGTCATATTAGATATGTTTTAAATATTGAGCAGATATATTTTAGACATGTCATATTCAAACCCTTCAGAGATCTACAGAATATGGCATTTAAAATGTTTTAATAACTTAGAAATTTTTCTTTTTTGAGACATGTCGGCTCCTGGCAGTACCGATCTACTTCAGAGAAAATATGAGCATTGAAGTTGACATGGAGTCAACTTTCATTGTGGCAAAAGTTAGCCACTGGACAACAAAGTATCCTCGAATCAACAGGACAAAATGAACAGACAGGAAACGAAACAAATGACTACTGATTATTGCCAAAACAAGTGTGGTTATGGCTTTATCAAAATGCATCATCTGAGGCCAGTACAATATGGCACTATCCCTGAAGTGGCCTTCCCAATTCAGAAAAGGTACGGTGCCCTTTTCTTCAAAGGCACCTGAACAGGCAGTGGGCCGATGGCTTCTGTTGTGCAATGGAACAGCAAAAGTTCATGCCTCTCAATAGTAGACTGGTATTGAATAGAGGGATATGGAGAAGAAGGGGATGCTGAGATGAAGCCATATATTCACAGTCAAGAAGAATGGACAGCTGAAATCTAAAACCGTCCACAATTTCCAGAATTTAAAATCCTGAAATGATACTAGTGGAATTCAGGTGTTTCTGGTACATGGACTGCTCTCACACAATGTGAGGTTGAACTGTTGACCTTGTGCACATCCTACTTCACAAATGGGACCGTCAGATATGCTAAGCCTATAGGCTGAACATGATGCCCCAACACTGAGGAGAAACCTCAGATGACTGTCCAGGCAGCTGGCTGTTTCTGTCAACTCACAAATTTTTTGGAAGTTGCTTGCATGCACTTCATGTTTTATTTTTGTTAGCTAATATTATTTCCTTCTTGGGTTTCTGAGGGAGTTGAAGTTTAGATATAGTTGAAGATTAATTAGTTATAGTTGAAGATTAACTAGGATAGAAAGTGAATTAGATACATTTTGGACTTATCAACATAAGATAGATAATGGAATTATTTTCTCTGATTTGTCAAATACAAGTGCACTAGACATTATTTAGGTATTTATTAACTGTATACATTGTATATAGTTATTGTACTTTTGTAAATAGTTTTTCTTTTGTTAGTTATAACCTTTTGCTTTTTTTCTTTTTATTAAAATAGAAAAGGGGAAATATGGTGGTATTCTATTTGTACTGAAATGCGATTTTAATTTTATGTCAATAAATAAAGTTGCCCGGGGGTCAGAGCTATTAGAGCCATAGCAAGAGTGTGGCAGTGGTGGCACACGCCTTTAATCCCAGCACATGGTAGACGAGCTAGGTAGATCTCTGTGTGTTCAGGGATACAGCCAGCATTGGAGACATACGCCTTTAAGAACTGGGGGGCTGTACATACAGGCAGTGATGAGGCAGTCACATGTTTGGGTTTACAACCAATGAGAAGGCAGAACACAAAGACTATTAAAATACGTACACACAGGAAGTAGCTCTCTTTTGGAGAGCTAGGAACACCAGAGGAGGAAGGGTGAGATTTTAGCTCTGAGCTCTGACCTCTCGGCTTTCTCTTTTACATTGGTTCTGTTTTTCATATTTAATAAGACGGTTGGTTACATCTACAATCTGGTTCTCTCTGTCCTCGTAACACATGCTCCAAGTAACCAAGGAGATAGCCTCTTAAGACATTAAGCTGCATTACAGCTGCAGACTCAGAATTCAACTTGACTGCAGAGTCCATATGCCTGTGGGTTTATGAGTCAGGAGAAAATTGCCATAGTTCACAATCACCCCAGTCATTTAGAGGTTCCCCAAATATCTTTACAAGTCACTCTAACTATATAACTATTGATAGGGAAGACACATAAGGGCAGAACATGGTCACCAGACTCAACAAGTCACCTCACTGACAGCTCATGGCATACAGAACAGCTGGGAAGTACCTAAAGTTAGCCACTGTGGTTGAAGTACAATGATGAACTGCCTTGAAATGGGTACACCTCATTAATCCCTTCCACTTTAATGTTAGTCTCATGTTCACTCATCAATGCCTATCCTCTAAAAAGAATGAATGCCAAGAGTTCCCAGCATAAAGCATTGGCCTTACCAGTTGCTGACTTTGAGCCAGAACAATTAATTTCCTGGAATCCTTGAATTTCAAGAGCCATGACAAGCAGGGAAGTTCTGTTGGTTCCCAGAGACTCCAGCTTTCTGGGCCCGATTACTGGAAGATTCAGCTCAAGTCCACTTCCTCCAGGAAGTTTCCATTTTCCTGCACAGAAGTCATGACACCATTCTCTTGAGTATTTCTATCTTGATGTTTTACATTGAGACTGAAGGTCAGCTTTCTTCTGTCACTCTCTGGTCTCTCTACTCTCCCCATCTCTTTCCGAATTAGACTCATCTGTATGTCATCATGTTCAACAGTAAATGGTGAAGACATTGAATAAGCTTCCCAAGGGCAGGTGGTGTTGCCACAACATAGGTGACATCAAAGAGGATGCTAGGGTTCTCCAGGATACAATGGAATGTCCAGGGAAGAGCTGAAGATGTCATGGAAACTGGCATTGCTTCCCTGCTAATGAGCTTTTCTCATAATACACCAGAAGTCAAGCTGACCTTTGCATCAGCCTCTGCTGGGATACGAGGGAATCACTTCAGCACCCCCTTCATCCAAAGCTAGAGATCTCTCCCCAATTATTTGGAAATCACTTAGTTCTTTCCTTGTGTGGAAGTGAATGTTTATCTCCTACAGTAAATTTATGTACACAAGGTAATAATATCATATATATTTATATATGCTATAGTTCATAATAAATACCTGCATTTTCTCATCTCCTTAGGCACAAGACATTATAGACTTAATGCTGACTGAGAAGGACACTTGTTAAACAATTTCCTGGTAAAGAATCTACAGAAAACATCTGGGCAGAGTTATGCTAGAGTAAGAGGAAGACACAGCCTAGGAACAAGTACCCACTGTAGTGTGATATGGTCATGGAGTTCAGTGTGACTAAAATCTGTGTCATCAGCATATGTGTAGTTGCTGTTGTGCTCTCAGTTGAGTAGCTCAAAGTGGTCTGCTGTTACTGGGTAGTAAATGTTGCCAGATAGCTGGAGTCTTCCACACAGAACATAAGTTTCCTATAGAGCAAAGGATATTCAGGAAAATCCTTTGTAAGCCCATTCATATTTAAAAACATAGACACTAGGGTTCCACTGGACACTCCAGATCAAGTTTTCTTAATTTTCCAATTCTCTGATCCTTTAAATAGCACTAACAGTGTTCCTCATGTCGTGGTGAACCTTAAACACAATTGTTTCATTGTTTCTTAACTTTAATTATGCTAATGTTATGAATCATAATTCAAATATTTGATTACAAGATATCTGATATGCAACCCCCCATGGGGCAGTGACCCACACGTTGAGGACCACATCTCTGAATGCAGGCAGAAATCTCCTCAAATCTTGACTGTGATGCTGGGGCAGTGTGATTCTTAGTTTTTATTATCAGACTGAATCAATCTAGTCATCTTGGAAGAGGGACACTCGATTAGAAATTATATAGATCAGATTCACTTTCAACATGTCCCTGTGGGTTTTTATTAATTGTTAATTGAGATAAGAGTCCCTAAAATGGGCAGAATGATTTTATTGTCTGCAACCTGTAATGTGTACATATGAAGAAGCTCGAGCATAAACATAAGCAAACAGGCAGCAGGGGTACATTTGTTTATCTCTGCTCTTGGCTGTGAATGTGATATGATTAGTGAGTTCTTTCCTCAATTTAACAAAAATGGAACTATTACCTGGAATTGTAGGCTATGATCAGTTCTTCCCATTCTAAGTTGCTGTGCCTGATAACTCAATGTAATAAAGATGCTAAGAAAGCACTCTATGACAGAGGGGGTTTCATAAGTCAGTGAGATGTGTATTTCAAGATATGCTCAACAGCACCAAATCTGTCTCAGAAGAAGAGATCCTACTTCCTCCTGAACCCAACCTGTGTTTTCCTGTCACACTTTTACAAAGACACAGTGACATCCATAGACTCACAAACCACTTCACCCTGTCAAAAATGTCCCCTGATATTGTCTTGCCATATAAAGTACTCTGCTAAATTCTTCTAATGTGTTATATACAACAAGCTTCACTTCTATGAATGAAATTTTCTTTGAATTTCCTAGCCATTAAAATTTTCAGATATGGGGAATTGGATCTGAATTCACTGCCTTGACTGTGAATTTCAATCTTATGTTCTTCCTTGAAGGTCAGAAGAAGCTCCATAAAGCTATGAGCAAAGTAGTCCTTAAATTCCAGGTATGCAGGGGGTCTAAGTAATGACTGCCAATGTATCCACTAGTTACCTTAGGGTGGAGATCAACTCCAGGGCTGATGTACACACATACCTGTGGAATCTTCTTTGTACCCTTCTAATTTCGGTGTTTCTTCATTAAGGCTTCTGTAAACAGATCTTTGATGAATTTCCTCCTTCAAAGCTAAAAGACCTTATCAGATGTGAAAAGTCACTTTGATTTTGTCCTTCTCCTAGGACCTGTAACAGGCCCTTTTGAGCTACATCAAAGGCTATACAAGGAGAATAAGATCTTGGGCTAGGAACTGAAATAACCACAGGTACAGGTTTAGAATGCAGGTGTGAGGAACAGAGTGCAAAACCAGGACAGGACAGCAGTCACCCCCAGGAAATTTTTGGTTATGTCTTCGGCAGTTTAACCTCTCTGCCTGTTTCTTCTACCTAGAGAAAGATGGGTTGGGATGCACCATGGAAATGGGTGCTGTCACAAGGCATGTCTTATAAAATCACTTCCCTCATAAGTGGGACTTCTATTTGTCTATTTGTTTGTTTGCATGTTTTTTTTTGATGATGGTCATAACCTAGAATTTATATGAGCTAAGCTGCACATGTCTTTCTGGTGAACATCTCTTTCTGGGAACAGAGGGATCAGATTCTAAACTTATAAAATTTGCTGTAAATGCTGCTTTAGAGCCAATAACCACTTCACGTGGCAAAAAAAAAAATTAACACTTCTCTTCATGACTGTTACCAAATGTTGTGCATGGCTCCTGTCCTTTGCCATTTGAAACAACTCACCAACTAGCTATTCTTTATTGAATAACCACTTTCAGATGCTAAACGCAAAGAAGATGGAGAGGGAAGGTAGAAATCAACATGTTTGATCCCAAATATAGAGTTGTGTTTGCTTGTTCCAATCTCAAAATTCTAATTCTTGTCTGGCTAATCTAATAACAAATAAATGCCACCTGTTCCTACTGTGGATTTTAATAGAAGCACATAAATGATCTTGGTGACTTACTAAAATTCATGTATTATAAATTGAGTCCTGGTATTAATATTTTCTTCTCTGTCTTGCTATTCCAATGTGGAAGGTTTGCTTGGTTGAGTGGAAGTGAACCACCACAATTAAAATTGGGGGGTTAAATAAACTACTGTAACAGAATATGTTTGGGAGTTGTAAAAGTTTTTGCATTGAAAAAATCAAAATTTAATAGGATCCCGTTACGTGGTGGAGTAAAAAATCAGAGTCATCAAAGCTTGCAAAACATATTTTTAGCACTTTAGTGGGAGAAACACTTTATTTATTTATTTTTTATTTTTATAATTAAATTAATTTTACATATCAGCCATGTATTCCCCTGTCCTCTCTCCTCCTGGCCCTCATGCCCTCCCTCCCTTCCACCCCCATTCCAATCTTCAGGGCAAGGACGCCCCTGGGGACTCAGCTCAGCCTGGTAGATTCAGTTGAGGCAGGTCCAATCCCCTCCTCTCTTCACCTAGGCTGAGTAAAGTGTCCCAGCATAAACCCTAGGTTCCAAAAAGCCAGCTCATGCCCCAAGGACATTTCCTAGACCTACTGCTTGGGGGCCTCCTAAACAGTTTAATCTAATCAACTGTCTTGCTTATCCAGAGGGCTTAGTCCAGTTCCATGGGGGCTCCTCAGCTATGGGTTCATAGTTCATGCATTTCTACTAGTGTGCTTTAGCCAAACATTGTCTCAATATCTTTTGCTCACACAATCCCTCCTGTCTCATGTTGATTGGACTCCTGGAGTTCCACTTGGGGTTTGGCCATGGATCTCTCATCAGATGGATGAGAGTTCTATAATGACAGTTAGGGTATTTGGCCATCTGATCACCAAAGCAGGTCATCTAAGTCGCTCTCAACACCATTGCCAGTAGTCTATTGTGGAATAATCTTTGTGGATTTCTGGGGACCTCTCTAGTACTCTTCTTATTATTCCCATGGGGTCTTCATTTACCATGGTGTATCTTTCCTTGTTCTCCCACTCTGTTCCTTATCCATCTGGGACCTCCCACTCCCCCATGCTCATTTGTCTGCCACTTTCTCTCCATTACACTCCCACCAAACAAACTCCCACTTTGCTCATGTAGATCTCATCCATTTCTCTCTCATTTGGCGATCCCTGTGTTTTCTTTAGGGTCTTCTTTACTAGGTAGCATCCCTGGAGTGTGAGTTGCAGTCTGGTTATCTTTTGCTTTATATCTAGTATCCACTTATGAGTGAGTACATACCCTATTTTTCTTTCTGAGTCTGGGTTACCTCACTCAGAATGATCTTTTTCTAGTTCTATCCATTTGCTTGCAAACCTCATGATCTCATTGTTTTTCGTTGTTGAGAAGTACTCCATTGTGTATATCCCACATTTTATTTATCCATTCTTCAGTTGAAGGGCATCTAGGTTGTTCTGTCTATCACAAATAATGCTGCTATGAACATAGTTGTGCATGTGCCTTTGTGGTATTATTGAGCCTTCTTTGGGTATATGCCCAAGAGGTATATTGCTGGGTCTTGAGGAAGATCAATTCCTAATTGTCTGAGAAGCCACTATACTAATTTCCAAAGTCAATGTATGAGTTTGTACTCCACTAATAGTGGAGGAGTTTTCTCCTTGCTCTACATCCTCTTCAGCATAAGCTGTCTTCAGTATTTTTGATATTAGCAATTCTGACAGGTTTAAGGCAGTATCTCAGAGTCATTTTAATTTGCATTTCCCTGATGACTAAGGTTGTTAAGCAATTCCTTAGATGTCTTTAAGAAAATTGAGAATCTTCTGTTGAGAATTCTCTGTTTATCTCTATATCCCATTTTTAATTGGACTGCTGGCTATTTTGATGTCTAAGTTCTTGAGTTCTTTATATATTCTGGAGATCAGCCCTCTGTCTGATGTGGGGTTGGTTAAGATCTTTTCCCATTCTGTGGGTTGTTGTTTTTTCTTATTGACCATGTTTTTTGCCTTTCAGAAGTTTCTCAGTTTCAGGAGGTCCTATTTATTAACTGTCACACTCTGTGTCTGTGCTACTGGTATTATATTTAGAAAGTGGTCTCCTTTGTCAATGACTTCAAGACTACTTTCTACTTTCTCTTCTATCAGGTTCAGTGTAACTGGA